AGTGTGTGTCTTGCACTCGGAGAGAGCAAATTTATCAATATTGTGAATCGCTGTGATTTACAGCGTGTATTATAAAAGTTGTTAATTTTAAAGTGACGAGAAACGTACTGACTGTGGAATTACTGTGTACTAAAAGTTTGTATCGAAAAAGAATAAACTGGTTCAATCAAGAAAGGACTTGTATCGCTGAAGTTCCTCGGAAAGAATTTCTACCGGAAATTAACAAACAAGCAGATACGTAGAAATATAAAATTTTTACCGTGTACGTCACACTAATGTGTGTTGTGATTGTTCAGTAGACGTAACACCATTCTACATTCTGAAAATTCAGTTAAGTTGCACTTCAAATGATAGTGTTATGAAATAACGATTATTTCCCGATTTCAATCTTTTTGTTTAGAAAAGAAATATCTGTGGATTCATGGTTCATAACCCGTTGCTGAAAAAAATACACTCTTTGGGGCTGTGGGTGCGTTCAACTCCATCATTCGATCAGAATAATGGATGTCCAGAATTATGGGCGGCTATGTGCACATAGCCCTTGTATAACTTGGCGCGAAATTCTGATTTGGAAAATAAAATAATGATCCCGATTCCATTTCCTACTGTTACGTTAATGTCGAACAAATTATATGCAGTTGAACTCACAAATACGGAGACGTATATGTATTTCAATCATTTGTGTATTTTGTTTTAGGCATAGTACATAAACAGATACGTCGATAAATAATAGGACTATCACTTGATTAAAATTACAATTCAACGATTTATTTGTAATGCCCGAAGATAATTATTCTTTACAATCTTGTATCGTAAAAAAAACGTCGGAAAAATATTTCGAAGCCTGAGAGTTCGTAATATATTTAGAGACAAAAGTCGTATTTCACAGATAAGGCAATTTCCTGGATAACTTGGCATCCTGCCAAGAGAATGTAGCAACTGGAATGACGTAGTGTCTCGCGCAGACTTGACACTACGCACTGTTGTGTAGCCATTGTTTTTCTTTTCCACTATGTCGCTTTATGTGTACAAGCACAACACGAAATGTCGACAACTCATCGACTATTCTATACCGTTAATGAAAATTGGAACGATATATCCTTCTTATTAAAACAATAATGATACATTTAGTTTATTAATTAACATACCATTAAAAAATCACTTGTATCATTACAACTAGGCCTATTTGTCACTAAGCTTATATTATAGTTATAAAGATAAACCAACCACTGTGGCTATCCAAAAAAATATTAATACATAAGAAATCTGTCGAATTTTTAGTTTTAATTGCTGCATATGAGACTAGTGAATCCTATTTTCTGTCAAAAGCAAAATTAGAAAATATTCTGTGTCAATTGGTTGGTTGTAATTAAGCACAAAGCTATACAATGGGCTATCTATGCTCTGCCCACCACGTGTATCGAAGCCCTGTTTCTAGCGTTGTAAGTCAACATTCCTCTGTGCCACTGGGGGCTTCTGTGTCAGTAAAGAGGGCAGATACGAGCTACAAACATAAAAAGAACGTAATCACCTTAATCCAAGAATGCAATTACTATTTGAAGTAACGACCTTTTGTGTTAATCGTCTTTCAAAACAACATTTATTACCATGTTTATTCAGGTTTTTAAGGATAGTATCTAGGACTTACGTGTCACTCCTAGCGGTTTTTTCTGTAAACCTACTTAGTAAATAGATGGCGCCACGAGAGCAGCAAAATGTACAGATCTTCTCAAGCTTTACTTGTGATATGTAACGTTGGCAACGTGACAGCTCCGCCCACCAGCTAGTGACGTAGTCGGACTGCGACTCGTTTTTTATTTTATTTTATGAGCTTGTCGCGATATACTTTTCTCTTTGCTTTACGATATTACATTGTACAGAGTTATCAAAATAGAAACTTTTTTTTTCTTCAAGGAACAGAGATCGATTTGTAGCATACGTAAATATGTTTATTTTGACGATGAGAGGCTTTATTACCAAGGAAATGAAATCAGTTCTATTATAAATAGTGTAGGTTTTACTAGGCTTTGTTTTATACACGAAAAACCGCATATATTATTTCTTTGTCAATAAGTGTTTTTCAATGATTGTGTTCCTATAATGAGACACGTGCATTTCACAGTATACTAATCATCTGTATGTAGCTTATATAAATAGGACGTAGCTGTTAAATGGTATTTGTACGGGGGTTATATAAATATAACCTAGTTTTTAAGGAGTATTATATGTTACTGTACTGAGCTTCAATATCTTTTAGTTGATTTATGAGCTGCAAAACAGGTTCACAAATCAATCAGATCTCTACTTAAGTCATCTGTCCAATCGGTTATACAATCAACC